CCACCCACCCAGCGAGACACACAAGCTGGTGGTCGTGGGCGGCGGCGGCGTCAAGAAGAGTGCGCTGACCATCCAGTTCATCCAGGTAGTGGGGACCTCACTTGGGGGGTGCCCTCGGGACCCAGAACATAGCCCTGGGGAATCCCCCCCAGCGAGACACACAAGCTGGTGGTCGTGGGCGGCGGCGGCGTGGGCAAGAGTGCGCTGACCATCCAGTTCATCCAGGTAGTGGGGACCTCACTTGGGGGGTGCCCTCGGGACCCAGAACATAGCCCTTGGGGGGAATCCCTGAGACCCCGATCTTCTCTTGATCCATCACTGAGACCCTCTTATGAGGCCCTCTAATCTTAAAAATCCCCCTGAGAATGTAACCCTGAGCCCCCTGGGACTGCCACCCTCTTACCTGAGGGACCTTCCTTCTCTACTCACGTCCTCCCCCAGGGCCCAGGACTCCCCTTCGCTGTTGACCTGACCCTGAGCACCTCCTGGGAGCACGTTAAATCCATAAGTCGCCCCATCCAGATCCTAAGCCCTTTCCTGTGCCCCCACCTTTGTAGATGCCACTTCCTCTCACCCTGAGCCCCATCTCCCCCAAATCCCAGACCTCAGCTTCCCCTCTGAGAGCCAGAGCCTAACTGGGAGAACGCTTGTGCCCAAAGCTCTTAGATGCCCCCAGTCTGGATGCTTAGCCCTTTCAGGCACCTCCCCCAGAATCTAGAAATTATGCCCAAGCTTTGCCCCCGAGTCCCATCTGGGACCACCCAGTTCTAAGAGAGGTGCCCTCGGACCCAAGAGAGTTCTAAAAGGTCCTGTGCCCCTTGGTCATTCCAGAGAACGCTAAGACCCCAAATCCTGGGGCTCCCCCACCCCGCGAGACCCAGACCTCCCTCCTCCCCCTAAGGAAAACCAACCACTCCTCTTGAATTTTCCACTCAGACTCCCCGAGCCTCTCTCAGAAACCCTGGCTACCCTGCCCCAAATTAGTCTCCATGGAAGAAGCCCCCCAAGATTCTTGACACCCCCAGGAATAGTAGCTACTCCTGAGGAGTGTCTCTGACCCCATAAATGCATGTCAGGGTCCCTAAGACTCTAGACACGCACTTCTATTCTAGGACAAACTCCCAACGTGCCCAGATTTCCCTCTCCTAGTTCTCACCCCTGAGCTTCCTTCTTGTGAGGTGCGCTGAAGACACCCTCCTAATCCCCCCAGGGCCTGGTCCCCACCCCCTCCTTCCAGGACAGGCCCTCATCGAGCACCACCCCCAGCAGACAGGGTGCAGCCCTAAGACCCCCAGCGGCCAGATCACCCCTTCTCTGCTGAAACTCCACCCCATTCCCAGGGGGAACCTCCCTCCCGCCGCAGAGAAACCCTAGAAAGGTGTCTGCTCCTGAGAAGATAGTGCAGAGGCCCCTGGGCCCCAGACCCCTCAAGAGACCGCCCCCCCCCCGCCCCCAGTGCCTGCATGGGAGCCCTTGCTGGTGTAGAGAAAAGCCCCCCAGCCCTGGGCCCCTTGTCCCAGGGGCCGACCCGAAGCTGCTCAAAAGCCTGGCTGGAGACGGGCGGGACCCAGGCAGGAAGGGAGGGGCCCAGCCTGCAGGAGGGGCAGTTTCTCCAAAGTTGGATTGGAACCCGGACCTTCCCCTGGGAGGAGACACTGAAAGCCGACCGAGGAGGAGGAGGAGGAGGAGGAGGAGGAGGGGGAAGAGGAGGAGGGACAGATACCGACAGGCAGAACTCTGGACAACACGGCTCCCAGTAACTGAGCACCTACTCTGTCCAGGCAGGGTGGTAAACGCTCAGACGTTAACTGGATTTCCCCTGAATCTCACAAACACTGGCTCCCATGCGGGGCTATTTTTACCCTCATTTTCTAAAGGAGGAAACAGGTCCAGAGAGGGGAAGTGATTTGTTCGGTGCCACACAGCCAGGAGGTCACGGCGACCTGGGAGACGTACTCGATACCAGAGAGAGGAGGGAGGGAGGAAAAGCCAGAAAGAGGAAGATAGAGCCAAAGAGACAGGGGGCAGAGACCCAGAGAGTGGGGCCGGGGCAGGCGGGCCCCAGGGGCAGAGCTGTGCCATCGCTGCTGGCGCAGTGGAGTCACCGCGTCCTCCCTCTCCCCGCCCCCTCCAGTCCTACTTCGTTTCTGACTACGACCCCACCATCGAAGACTCCTACACCAAGATCTGCACCGTGGATGACGTCCCGGCCAGACTGGACAGTGAGGGCGGCTGAGAGCGGATGGGGGGCGGGGGGCAGGGGAGGGCCCGGCCAGAGGTGCCTGGGGATGGCCGGGGAGCCTTGTCCACATGGCGGCCCTCTCCCCGTCCCTGCAGTCCTGGACACCGCGGGCCAGGAGGAGTTTGGCGCCATGCGGGAGCAGTACATGCGCGCCGGGCACGGGTTCCTGCTGGTGTTTGCCATTAACGACCGGCAGAGGTGAGAGGAGCCGGGAGGCTGCAGAGCAGGGGGGAGAAGGGAGGGGGCGGGGCTGAGCAGCCGGACCTCACGCCTCTGGGCTTCCTCTGCAGTTTCAACGAGGTGAGCAAGCTCTTCACGCAGATCCTCCGGGTCAAGGACCGCGACGACTTCCCCATCGTGTTGGTCGGGAACAAGGCGGACCTGGAAGCGCAGCGCCAGGTCCGAGGCGCCCGGGGACCCCCGTCTCAGCCTGGGAGGGTGGCACACCCCCCTGTCTCTCTTCACATCAGCATCCTCCTCTGGCCGGTGTGACCCTGCCCCGTCCACTGTCACACACGTCCCTGGATGTGTCGCCCCCCAAGCCGGTCGCTCTGAGTCCCCGGCATTGCACCCAGGAGTTCCCGG